TTTGTTTCTTTTCAGTTGCCCGAACTGGTGAATAGTTTGTCTGAGCATGGACAGCTACCACTGCAGATGGCATTGTCGGCGAAAAGTGTTCAAATTGCCCAGACTCTGGTTAATAATGGATCTGCGAATGTGAATGCCTATGATGCCAAGGTAAGTTATAAAAGAGGTGTTGTAAATCATCTGAATTAATATACTTCGAGCAGGGATCTACGCTTCTTATAGATGCTGTAAAAAAAGCCGATAGTTTTGCAGCAGACTTTCTATTAAATCACAACTGCCTTGTTGATCTTGTGTCCAGGTAATTCGCATAAGAACCTTTGCTAAACATAATAAATTAAACTCATATTTTGTTTTTCAAGGTCGTCATCCGATACAGCACTCCACATTGTATGCAGCTATGGCGAAACTAACGAAAATCATGAAAATGTATCCCACATGATTGATATCGGCAAGAAAATATTACAGCGCAAGGCTAATGTAAACCTTCAAAATAGCCAAGGACAAACGCCGCTGCATATTGCAATCATATCTCAAAATAAGGCTATGGTGGAGCTATTACTTGATGTGCCCGATATTGACATTAACTTGCGTAGCAATGATGAGAAATGTCCTCTTGAATTGACGTTGGTTCCATTCAATAAGGAGCTTGCTGCTAAACTCCTCAAGATGGGAGCCAACCCGAATCCATTGAAATCTGGGACAAATAACAACCTGCTGCAAGTGCTTGCCATGGGTGGGAGAGAATTTGAAGAGGCTGCTATATTTTTGACTGACTTTGCTGACCTTGAGCACCTTAACAACGCTGGCTTTTCTGCCATCCACATCGCTGTCCAAAAGAACATGCCGAAATTTGTGGCGAAACTTCTTGATGCTGGCGCTGCTCCCAATATACAAACGACTTCCGGCAATATGAAGTCACCCCTACACATAGCTGTGGAACAAAATGCTCAAGAGATTCTTGAGACATTTGTTAACTTCAGCAAAAGCCACTCTGAAAAAGTCGATTTCAACTGCAAAGATGAAAGTGGCAATACGCCTTTAAGCTTATGCTTAGCCCTTAATCGCATTGAATTAGCTCCAATACTTATCGCTGGCGGCGCTGATGTGAATGCGCGCAATGGACAGGACTTGACTTTGTTGCATCAATCTATAATCAGCGGCGACAGCGAGAAGGCAGTTTTCCTACTGGACCAAGGCGCCGAAATTAATGCGCTTACAGGTAAATTATGTAATTTTAAGTAATTTATCATTTAAGGATTTCAGATTGTCGAAAGTTATTAATGCAAGTTGTCCTTTTATTGATTGATCTTCTTGAATACTTAGGTGATCAAAAGTCTGTCCTTCAACTGGCTATCGATTCCCATCTGCCCAAGGTTGTTGACGTGTTATGCATTAAGGGCGTGGACCTTAGCACCTTGGACAGTTCAAGAGATTCACCTTTATGGACTGCTCTAGAATTGGGATTTGAGGATGTTGCGCAAATTCTAGTTCGCCATGGCGTTGACACCGATTGCTGGAGCCAAGGACCTGAGGGCTGCCAGCAGACACTGTTGCACCGGGCCATCGATGAAAACAAGGAGGCCACAGCAATTTTTCTCGTTCGCAATCAATGCGACTTGGACTCTCCGCGCCAACCGGGTCCAAATGATGAGGGTGGTGACGAAGCTCGCGACAAAGCCTCTCCTTTGCATCTCTGCTGTCAATGGGGTCTGACAAAGGTTGTGCAGGCACTTATTGATCACGGCGCCAATGTGAACGCTGTAGACGCTGAAAGCAAGACTCCAGCACACATAGCTATAGAAAACCAGCATGAAGATATTATAAATATCCTGTTGTGCCATCCCGGAATAGACCTGAAGTTGCGGGATAAATCCGGTCTGACGCCTTTTGCCACTGCTCTGGCCATCCGCAATCACAAAGCCGCTCAGCGCATACTTGAGAGGCTGCCAAATGCAGCCGAAATAATGGATAATCGTGGACGCAATTTCCTGCACATAGCTATATTAAAAGATGACCTCGAAAGCGTTCTCTTTTTGTTGGCTATTCAAGTAGACGTCAATTCCCGCGTCCACGACGCCTATCAGTCCACTCCACTTCATCTAGCAGCTGCGTCGAAAAACGAAATGATTATACGGAATTTAATACTGGCCGGCGCTCGCATCAACGAACGTGATGCTGTCCAGAAAATGCCGCTTCATATAGCAATCGAGCGCGGAAATCTTGCGGCAGTTTCGGCGATGATCCAAAATAATGCCGACTTCGATGCAACCGATGCTGATGGAAACAATGCCTTGCACCTTGCGGTCCACGGGGGTCAGCTGGCGATAGTCCGCGAGCTGCTGACCGAATCGCGAGTAAATGCGGAGGCAACCAATGCGAGGGGCCGCAATCCCTTGCATGAGCTGTGTCGCGTTGGCGAAGACAATTCCGGTGCTGCCATATGTGAACTGTTTCTTGAGTGCATGCCGAAGTATCCGATTAACGTGCCCGACATGGACGGCAACACACCACTGCTGCTCTCGTATATGCGAGGACAAGCTCCACTTTGTAAGGTTCTTGTAAAAGCGGGCGCGTGTCTTGGGGCTCAGAACCGAGAGGGAATCAATATTTTCAATTACAAACTAGCGACAGATCAATTGCTGACTAAATTGTTGGACCAACTGCCTCAGGAGTCGCCGTGGGCAGAGTCTGAGCTGTGCCAAGAGTGTGGCTTAAAGTTTTCACTGACCATAAGAAGGCACCATTGGTATGTAATATTACGATATTGTATATAAATATATATATTTTTTTTTATTTATATTTTATAATATGTATTTTCTTCTTTCTCCAGTCGACACTGTGGAAGAGTTTTGTGCTCCAAGTGCTCCAACAACGATGTACCGATTGTCAAGTTTGGCATTAACAAACCCGTAAGAGTCTGCAAGGTGTGCTTCGATGTACTTCATGGAGGCAGCTAAAATGATTAGCAATAGTTTGTAGTTTGCTTTCGGAACAATGATAAGTGTTTGGTAAGATAATATTATACTTATGAAATAAAATAATTTACTAGTGTTAAATATTATAAAGAGGTGTCCTTTCTAACGATATGCTTAAAGAAGTTTTCAAATAAAAAAAATATCACGTTGCTAGGGAAAATTGACATCACATAACGCTGCACTTATATATACTTAAACTTATTACCAATTCGTAATAAATTCATATATTTTTATTTATATTTTGTTTCTGTCTGTTTTTCAGATTTAAAAGGCAGTTTATACCAACCGGACTATAAGCATCTTAGAGATATTATATTATATATAATACATTAACGAAAACGATTATGAAATCCTACACATATACATATATACATCTTTATCCTGTATAACTAATATGCTTTTTGTATTATTACTTAGTCAAGAATTAAAGCTTGTTTCAGCGCACACTGTTAATCATATGTAAATAATAAATAAATATAAATTGACATTAATAAGTATAAGAATTCATGTTTTTTACCAAAAATAAGGAAACCCTTATATAATATTTTAAAATGTAATAAATGGAATTATTTCCAATTATATTTATTCCACGCCACTTATTGTCTATTATTTAGAAGAGGTCAGGGCCAAACACAACTGAAATAAATAATTGACGATACTTTATAAGCATGAGAGATATATGCTGTATAGTCAAGTAGATTGATGTCAGACTTCAATATCAAGATAAGAATTCATTCTAAATAAACTGAGAAAATTACCAAAGTGTATATCCTT